CCTGCTTTTTTTTTTTTTTGTTTTTCCAGAGAAGAAAGAGAATGTATAAAGGTTCCTAGAGATATGGATGATGCAAAGGCCTTGGGAAAAGTCCTATCCAAGTATAAGGACACGTTTTATGTTCAAGTGTTAGTGGCTTATTTTGCCACATATGTTTTGTATCCTTTTTTCTGATATAAAGGACACTTTATATGTAGTCATTTCTCTGAAAAAATAAATGGAAAAGACAAATGTATAAATTCTTGATCATGGGTGAAGAAGCTTGACATGCTTGGGAGTGTTTATGAATAGACACAATATTTTAAGTCTTTGAAATTTAAAACCATTTCTTAGATGTTTCAATACATTTTTGGACTATAAGAAAGGATTGAGAAGGAAGAAATTGATACATGCATGTGTAGTAGTAAAGGCTGTTGGGGACTTGCATGTAGCTTCACCTTGTCTGTGCCTTTTATGAACAATATTTTTGCTGTGATACTGGGCTTGGTCTCATTTTAGTGTTACGTTAACTTTTTATAAATTGCAAATTGAATGGCCAGTTAGAAATTACTGTTGATTCTAAAGGCAAACTGAGACTACTGCACTGCTCTTCTTTGAGGCATTCAGAAGTGCCACATGAGGGTAATTGACAGATTATTTAACAGCATTTCTGAAGGGAAGTGTTTTGAGCCTTGTTTGATCTCTGCAGTGCCCACATTCACCAAACCAAGTCTGTTTCCTTTTAGAGAGCAGATTTCTGAAGTACTTTCTGCCTAGGCAGACACAAAGGCTACCTGTGTCCTTCATGAACTTCTTTTCTTCCTGTGTGCTGAATGTATTAATTAATCATTAAACACACTCTTAACTGGAACACTTATCTAAAGGTTAATAACTTGAAAGCTGTATAAGAGGTGTGTTCCACGGATTTAATGCAGGAGACTTTCGTAACTCAGAAAAACATGACTGAATGTGCCATTAGGAATTATTCTTTAGCTCATCTTTTGAAGTGCATTTCACAAATAACAGGTTAATCAAGAAATTAAAATGCTAGATTGTATATTAACAAGGAGTAGGATGGAATTGTCTGTTCATTGAACTACTGTAGCAGCAGATGTGATGACATTTACTGTCTCAGCAGTAGACTGTGATCAGTTGACAAGTATGTTACAGATACTCTGAACCTTGACACTCGCTTAGCAAAAGCTGTATTGGTTGTAATGGAATTAGAAAGGTATTAGACTTTTTAATACTTCAGTCAATTCAACTTCTATAGATAATGTGTAGATTTTTTTTTTTTTTGCTTTATAACTTTTCTGTCTGAAGTGGGCAATGCATCCTGGTCTTGGGTGTGCCTAGCAAGCCTTAAGCTCAACAACCTGTTGGCTTATGCTGAGAATTTCTGACTGAAATTAGTGGTCATGTATTTTAGTTAGTGATGACACCATGCCTGTTTCCAAGGAAGTAGTAGCTGCCTTCATACATTTGTCTTCCATGGAACTTGTAGTTATGGGCTCAGACAGTTCTGTGCACTTTCCAGCGAGAATTTCTGAAGCCACTTATTTCCAGTCAATGATGTAAAATCAGAATTACGTGTTTCCTGTAAGTCCCAATAAATCCCCAGTGTCAGTTGTAGCACAGATAAAGAGAAAGCTGTAGTAATTTTTATTACGAGGAAGTACTTTGATTTACAAGGAAGAGCTGCTTTGCTGTGCAGTGCCTGAGCACTGAACAGGCTGCCCAGAGAGGCTGTGGGTTCTCCCTCACTGGAGGTGTTCAGGAACTGTCCAGACACAGCCCTGAGCCATGTGCCCTGGGCTGGCCCTGCCTGAGCAGGGAGGTGGGACCAGTGACCCACTGTGGGCCCTTCCAGCCTAACTTGATTCTGTATTATTTAGTGACTTATTTTTTGCATGTGTAGTGATGAATCTTCCCCTTCTTGCTCTGTGCTTGAGCTTCTAGTGCTGCTCCACAAATGTATTTTGGAGTAAGGATCTTGATCTGTGCTTGTTCAAATTGTAACATGTCTGCTTATAACATTAAGAAGTGGGTATCTTTTTAAAACTGTGTTTTTCCTTAACTAAGATGCATCTAGCTTACAAACATTTGCTATTCCTGGGTCTATATTTCTCAGTATCCTGTCAGGGTTTCTTTATCCCTTTCCGCTGGCCTTATTTCTTGTTTGTTTGGTAAGTATGGAAAATAGTGTGTGAGGGCATATGTTCTGTCTATCTGGAATACAACCAAGCATCTGAACAGCTTCCTGTTCTGATTATTTAATCAGAGCCTGAGGGGAACAGGGACATCAGTTTTTGATGAGCAGATGAGTTCTCATTCAGCTCTGCTATGATTGGTGTTACCCACACCAGTCACTGCAGCACTGGGTGATGGTCCAAAACACTAAGCTGTTTCTCCAGGTTTCCTTAGTGGTGGAGACATGCAAGTGTGAATCAGCCAGTTTCCCTTAAACTTGTTTAGCATCTGCCAGACTCTAGCTGTAGTCTGAGAACACACCTGCTGTGGTTTTATTACCATGCTGTGGAACACATCTGGGTTGAGATGCCTTAAATACCCAAGAAGCCTCATTTAAAGTAGGTCTTATTAACAAGCTGTGGAAAATGCCACATGCAAAAGCTGCAGTAATGAGCCTTGGCATTGAGGATGAGACGACTGAGTGGCCCCAGCCAGCCACTGCTGTTAATAGGGATACAAGGCTAAGGTTAATTAGAGTTTCTGCTCATCTGTTGTCTTTATTTTTTATCTTTTCAAGTGCTCAGGACTTGGAGCTTCATTTTGCTATATGCTTTCATACCTAGTGGGACGTCCTGTTGTGTACAGATACTTAACAGAAAAAGCAGTAAAATGGTCAGAACAGGTAAGATTTCTAGAGATGCTGGAGTTTATGATACAAAATATGTCATGGAAAACTAGGAGATCTTGTGCTCTTGTGTCTAGTTACAAAGAAGGGGCTCTAACTGCTCTCTGACACTGTATAGTGACTTTCTCTGTATGTTTTTAAACAGTGTGGAATGTAACTGATTTTATGGTATTTCCCATGAGAAAGTTGTTCTTGCCTAGGAAGAGTTTGCAGCTGATCACCCCCCTGGTTCAGCTAGTGTCAATAGGAAACCTCTCCAGTGTCAGGTAATCTCAAGCAATTGCTCTCTCAGCGTCAGGGCTAGTGAAAACTGGGTTTGTGTTTTTGCAGGGGAGGAAAACCTGTAGCTGTATGTCCAATTGCAAAACCTTAATACAAAGGTCGTATTGCAGCTGGAGCATTTAGCAACTTATTCTTACAGTATCTTACAGTATCTGGTAACATTTTGCAGCTGGAGCATTTAGCAACTTATTTTTACAGTATCTCACAGTATCTGGTAACATCAGTTTCAGCAAGCATTAATTGTCAGATGAAGCTAAATGTTTTGCAATACAAAATCATAGTGTGATTTGTACTTGACCTTATGTCTCTTTCTTTGATATTCTGAAACATGGGGTTTTTTCTTTCTTTGATATTCTGAAACATGGGGGGGGGTTTATATTATGAAAATTGTATTTTTTTTGGCAAGTATGAAGCACCACTCACTACTGTTGTCTGTTCAAGACTGAATCACGTAAAAATACTTCAGACTTGTTCCTCATCAGATAAGATACGGAGCTGTGTCTGGCACAATTGACCTGCTTAAACAATGTAGTAGAAGTTTGACTCTTGACCTAAGTAAATCTTAATACTGCAGTATAATCTTGAGGCTGTTCTGAGTGGCAAATGGTTACTAATTCCATTAGCAGAACTGGATATGTGATTTACAATTACATGTGCAGCTCATATCTCACTGCTTCCAGGTTAATTGGACTGGATCATGGTTGCATATTGAGGGCTAAGGCTTTTTACATGAAGCATTAATCAATATGCAGATATTGGTCCTTCATGATGTTATTACTGACCAATAGCAGGGCTCCTGGTTTTGGTGTTGCAGTTAGATCTAAATTTGGCTAAGGCTGAAAAGCAGATTGTGCCTGGGGTGAGTTGCTACAGGAGATTTCAGATGGAATTGCATTCGGACCACGTTTGATTTCCAGCTCTTTGGGGCCAGATGACTGTCTTTAGGCTTGAGTTTAGTGAAGGCCTGCCAGGATAGGCCAGAAGTGGTGGATGCTTTGCAATTTTTACAGCTTGGTTTGAGGTTATACTTGCCTGAGAGGGCTGATGTGCTGCAGCCAGGCTGGGAGGAGAAGAGGCCTTGTCGCAGTACTAGAGCGAGGAGCTGGGCTAGACCTGAGCATATAGTTGAGGCTGTGGATGAAGTTGGAGCTGTTGTCCTTGCTCCTGGGTAAACATAAATTCTAGGCATTCTGACGTGTGGGGAGACAGGTTTTGCAACTGTGCTGGCAGCAGCCACTGATGAAGTTCAGAGCCGTGACCTGGGCAAGTTTCCAAATGAGGAATATAGCTGTGTTTCAAGTGTGAGTATGAGTTAGGACAGAGTGGGCTGAGGAACAAACTTCATTGTTAGCTGCTACAAGAGCTTTAGGAATGGGATTGCAGGCTGGCTGTGTTGTTTGGGCTGCAGTTAGAGGGGCAGAGGTTGCTATGCTGAAGTTAGGGCAAGGCCTGCTGCTGTGTCTGATGACTTGTTGGCTGTTTGAGCTGGCTGTGTCAGACACATCATCACTGTGCTCTGCCACAGACAGGTATTTCCACACTGACTTCACTACTATTTAGCAGGTAACTCACTAGTGACTCTGCTCTGCCTCACTGTGTTTAACTGATGTTTATGTTTGCAACTTGTAAATGTCTACAAAAGATGATAGAAGAAACCCAAAAACCTCTAGCAAACCTCTAGTAGTGAAATCATTGTGTATTTTCAAGGCAGGGATCTTTTGACTAATTTTGTTGGTTTTGTTTTGGCAGGTTGAACGACACAGAGAGCACCTCATTAACTACATCATATTTTTGAGAATAACACCTTTTCTTCCCAACTGGTTTATCAATATAACATCTCCTGTAATCAATGTGCCATTGAAAGTGTTTTTCATTGGCACTTTCCTAGGTAAGAGTTGTGGCTAGTGAGCTGCAGTTTTGGGGTGGCCAGAAGAAGGGTGTGATTTGCCTCTCCCTGTGCAGCTGGGATCACACCTGCTGGCCAGCTGAAAGACTGCACAAGAATGTTGGTTCTGTACTTATTTCTATGTGTGGAGCTTATGACATCAAAAGATTTTACTAGTAAGGACATTTCTGCTGTCCTGGATGAAAGGTAATGAGCCCCAGGCTTAGTTACTTGCTTAAGAAAACACACATTACACCAACACTTTATTAGTAACCTTTTGTTCTGCAATACTTGTGAGATTCTCTGAGTTCAAGTTTTGGAGCTCATAGTAATTGCATGAGGATGTGACTTTAATCTGAAGCAGTTTCTCATTGTCACACTCCATACTGTTCATTAAAATATATCATCCTGGGAGTGAATGAATAACAAACAGTTCAGGGTTTTAACTGGCATGTTTTTGCAATTACTTTTTAATCTGATTAGGAAGCAATCCTTATTTTTCCTTTATGAACTTAAATAAAATCAGTTTGTAGAGAGGCAACTTGAAATCTGCAGACTCTAAAGAGCAAGAGATTATTTGATTAGACTTCTGTGTTTGAGTTGGTGTTAAAAGTATTAAAAGTAGCATAAGCCACTTCTTTAGATAAGGGTTTTTTGTCTTTGAGTTCTGTATTTGCAGCCTTCTTTTTTTAAAAAAAGTACAATGCAACAAAGTCTCAATTTTTTGGTGTGACAGGTTGGATGACTAATTATTTTTTTTTCACCCTAACAATCTGGATTTTTGCCCTTCCCTGCTCCAGGTGTGGCACCACCGTCTTTCGTAGCCATTAAGGCAGGCACGACGCTGTACCAGCTCACAACGGCAGGGGAAGCTGTTTCCTGGAACTCTGTATTTGTGCTGATGTTTCTAGCCATCCTCTCCATCCTACCAGCTCTCTTGCAGAAAAAACTGAAACAGAAGTTTGAATAAGGATCAGACTGGACCAGAATTTCCCATACTTCATCTCAGGATCAGCACTTCTGATATTTGTATATTTGCTTTTCTATTGGATCTCAAGCAATTAAAGGGGAGGCTTGTAATTGATAAGATTGTCTTTCAATGAGCACATGGCCTAAAACTGAAGGGACTGTGTTCAGCAATGTACTGCATACAGTTTTGTAACCAAACCACCAGTGTTTTCCTTTGGGAGGGTGTGTGTGTGGCTTTCAGGATGAGGAAAGTGAAAATATAGACGTAACACTTTGCTCTAGTTTTATGCAGAGCAAAAACTGTCATGGAGGCATAAACTACAGGTGATGCTTTCTAACACTTGTAGGAAAAAACTCTAAATTATTCAGTCCAACTTGGCAACATTCTCCTGCATGTGGCCTGGTCTGAGTGCATTTCTCCTTAACAATATTTCCCTTCTTTTCTGCCTTTGGGAGTTTCAAAATAACATGATATAATGGTGCTCACTCAGAAACAAAGGTTCTTTGCTGTACTTTAACTACAATGTTATTCTCCTGCTGATTGTTTACTTCTATTTATTAGTGCTGTGTGGATTTAAATACTTGAACCTACATCTGCTTTAGTAACTGGATTAACAAAGGCAAAGTGTCAGATCATTCTTTCTTGTCCTCTGTAAAGTTTTATTCTGGGAGAGAGCAGCTTAGAACTTTTCTCTTGACTGGCTGATGATTTTTGAGCTTTACTTTTAATTTTTTCTTGCTGATCATTTTGCCAATGTTTCACTTGCATAGGTTTCTCCTGCCAATATAAGAAAGCGATGGCATGGTTAGATAGAACTTTCAGTTCTCAAGTGATTTGGAATTGTTTAAGCAGCGTAATGTTACCATTTCACAAGCAATATGTAAAGAGTATAAAAATTTTCATTGTAGCTTGATTAGCTAGAAGAGATGTCAGGTACACAAACTGGTGCAGTTCCTATAAAATAGCAGATTCCCAGTAACATTCAAAGCACCAGGTAACAGCAGCTCGTGTCGGTGCGTATAAACCCGAGAAGGTGGTTCCGTTGTCTGCAATGTCAGTAGCTGGCAGTGGGCAGCCAGCTCTGAGTCACCTTCAGTAGAAGGCTGTGTATTCTCTCAGTGAGGTACATGATACCTCCCCGTGTGCTTCCAGCTGTTGTAGTTCGTGGTGTTGTCAGTGGAACCCCATAAAACGAGGCCCGGGTTAGTGAGTAACTGGGAAATGCACTCAAGTTCTGTCCTACTGAAACCAGTGCTGCTGATATGCTTTAAGTTGATGCCCCTGAAGTATCTTGCTGAAATGGGAGTCAACACATCAGCATATGCTCCAGTTCTAGGGTTTGTTTGTCTACATCCTTGTGTTAACTCATGACCATATCAGAGATCTTTGAGGTGTAAGAACAGTTCCACATATGTGATACCTGTAAAGGTACTGGTACCTTTAAAGGGTTTGTTAATTTTGTAACACAATGTTAATTGACTCGTTTGTTTCACCACAGTATTACATGTTAATATATAGTATATATTATTCCTACACTATTAGTCTTTTATTTGAATCTGTAAAAAACACTTTGGGAAATGGTGTTTTTTACGTAAGTAGATAAAGGAATTCATATCAGTTCTGTTTGCAAGTTTATTGAAGGATCATTCAGCTACAGCAGTTATTGTTATTTAGAATTTACTCTAAAAGTGTACTTTATTGGCATTTAAAACTGAACAGTGATTATTTGGTTGCTGCTAATTTCTGGAGCTCCTCTGTGCAGGGGATTTATTCCATAGTAAATTTGAGTACAAATGTAGCCATATGAGCAAGTGTCCCCTAGACTAGTGAGTGTGAAGCTGCTGTAGATTTACAGCCTACTTTTCTGCGTGGTTAATTTTTCATGCAGATGAACTCAGAATAAATTACTTATTGTCCAGTGGCTTTTCTCAAAATCTGTCTCAATTCGGGTCCACAACAGATGCTGTTGTAAAATCCCTTCTCTGCTGTGTGAAGCCAATGTCTCGGTGGGACCTTGGCGCTGAAGAGGGAACCAAACTGTGTCAGTCTGACGTGAATAATGCTGTCACTTGTCGCTCCTCAGAGTCGTGTTTCACTGTGTAGGTGGGATCAGCTCTGGGCCTGAACACCTCTTGTGTTTCAGCCATAGCCCTGGGTTCCCACCACAGTGACTGAAAGCCTTAAGACCTTATAAAGGTCGAAAATAAGGTTCTTTCCTTTTTCAAAACCTGAACATTTTTTTTTTTTAACCCATCCCTTCCGTATTTATCTTCAGGTGCCAACAGCCTGAGGTGCTTTCCTCCCCGCCGAGGACTACTCTGAGTAATGCCTTGGGGAAAAGGCAAAACAAGCACCGTGCTGTGGAATACTCTCTTCCCCTACTTTTTCCCTTAGGAAATCCAGCACGCGATCCAAGGGACAACCAGAACATTTTGACAGAACAATAACTACCACGAGGAGACAAACCAGAACTCCAAAGACCTAGCTTTGCTTTTTAACCGCGAGGGATTTTGAGGTGACCTGTCAAGCCTTTGGAAACTTTTGTGCTACCTGCATGACATCATTACTAATAAGCGTCTCTTGCCGTTTGATAATAAAGGTAAAACATAAAACGCGACGCTGTTTTGATGGGGTTTTTTTTTTGGAGTTTGGCGGAGAGGGACACAATCATGGCGGCCCCGCGGCGCGC